AAAAAAAAAAAAAAAAAAAAATGCAAGTTAGGATGAGGTCAGAGTGGAGTACAGTGGCCCTCTACTAGAGTACTACTGGTGACTTTATAAGAAAAAGAGAGGAGAAAGAGACAGATGCACAGGGAGAATGGCAGGTGAAGTTGGAAGTAGATACTGGAGCCATATAACTACTAGCCAGGGGATTGTCAGAGGTAACAGGAGTGAAGACAGAAGCACAGAACAAGATTCTCTTAGAGGGTACACCAACCCTGCTGAGCCCTCGATGTACTTCCAGCCTCCAGAACTCAAAGGTAATAAATTCCTGTTGTCTTGAGCTTCCTAGCTTGTGTTTCTTTATTATGACAGCACCAAGGGAAACTAACACAGACAGAAACAAAATAGGCCAAACTAGCACAGATGTACTTATGCAACAGAGTTCAGAGATGAAGGGTTACTTACGAGTTGATGGGATCATACTTTTGAACTCCATACATTGGTGTTATTTCTGCACGTTTGATTACTTTCTGAGTATCATACAGAAGGAACATGCTGAAAAGAACTAATCCACCATACACTGCCACTGAGTACAAAGTGGCACCAGCCACAGAGGTAGGTGGAAGAAACATCGATCCTGAAATCAAAATCAGGGAAAAAATAAGATTCTGTACCTTTTTAAAAAAGAACAATTTCCCATAACTAGATTTATAATTTATACTGCTTAAAGACCTCTTTGGAGCACCGTGCAGGTAATAAAATATCTAGACTATGGACGGTAATCTTATTTACAGCCTAATTCAAGCCGGTGGAATGAATCTGTCCAGTGGGTTGCCTGCCCACACTACAGGAAGGCTCTTGAACTATGGCAATCCCTACATTCTCCAGACCATTTCAGATGTATCTGGCAAAACCAATGACAGTGGCTGGCCATGTGCCAAGATTCATGAGAGCTCAAGTAACAAAAGTCAATCAAATTAGTGTATCTCTTTTAGACAACTTTAAACATGACTCTTAATGAATTAAAATACCTATTTCAGCACTTAGGACACATGAAATCAAGGACTAAGTGTCAAAGGTACAGCAGCTTACCCAGTGAGGACGCGAGGACCAGACCCAGGCCCACACCCAGGGGCGCTCCCATGTTCATAAACTTCTCACTGGGTGCACACATGGCCACAGTGGACAGGCCGCCCACGATGCCAGCTGTGTACCAGGCGGCTCTGATGAGGAGAGGGCCGCCTAATATGGTCAGAGGTGCCACCACCGCACCCATCACACCTGGGGAAAGGGCATGTGTTTGGTAAGCATTCATAGGTAACAACCAAAGGGAAAACACCACTTCCAACGTGTTACCTTAAACTTTGATACTGCACTATTATGCAATATGATTTTCAAAAGTTTTCCTTTTGGATAATACTATACACTAGATTTCATAACCAAAACTGTGGCTATCCAAATTTTGTATGGCAATATTAATATATTCCTAGTCAAATGGTTTTAACTCACTAACCTACATTTTTAGTAAATGTAAAATTCTATGTTTTTACAACATGAAAGAATCCAGATAAAAAGGCTTACAAAACACTAAAAAAAAACTTGAGGTCAAACCTACTGCTGATAATAGGGAATAAAGTAAAATAAGAGGAAGAACAAATGATGGTTAACTTGGAAATACAGGGGTTCCTGACAAGACACTGTTGTTACTCTGTACAACAGCGAATACTATCACAGCTTATAAAATTAATTTTAGCTGTCATACTTTTTAAAAAGTCTTCATAAAAATTACAGTGGAAAAATCATTAATTAGCAAAAGTAAATAAGCTCTTTAATTGGAAAATAACCTTGGAGAAGGCACTATTTCAGTGCTAAGAAGAACAAATTATCTTTTCTTAAACAGTCTCACAGAACAAGTACAGAGCTACTTTTATCCCGAATCTTCAGTATTAGTGCGTTTCTTACTCAAGACATTTCTAGACTAAGTAATAAGGTTTACTGTACTTCATGAGGATGACTAAATACATGTTACTCTAGGAAAGATATGGGAAAAAGGAATTCTACATATGACATTGCTATTAGTTTTGCAATTAGCAGCAAGTTTTTAACAACTTTCTCTAGCTTTCCCTTTTTCTGGAGACACCAGACAAAAGCAACTCTCTCAAGTGACATGTATAAGATCTGAAATCCTCCTGGTATTGGACAAAACACATTAAAGTCAACCTCTACTTACTTGACACCGTTATAAGAAGACAAGCTCTATTTTCAGGATGTCTATGGTCTTAGAATCAATCTTTCAAAGTAAAGGTCTGACAATAATGCAACTAGTAACTACTTTGGGAAATGGTGTTTATACTTGTCAAGAGTCACTTAAAATGGGCAGTTCCTGCAGCTGTCTCACAATTTAGAACATACCAGAATGGAGCAACCAGGCAAGATGTTTTTGGCCTGGACTCTGTTCATATGGTATGGACCGTACCAGCATTCCAGCTCCAATCATGGCTGCAAAAGTTGCACCAATTGTCTGAAAGAAACATTATGAAGAAAAAGGGATCCTTAAATAAAAGCAAAGCAGAAACCCACAAGTTTCAAGTACAATTGGGCATAATCAGTTTTGAAAAGATGAAGAATAGTAAACTGAATCCTACGTTTTTCTAGCACACTAATGGCAATGAGTTTGAGTTTGAGCTGTATTAGCAAGAGGGCCCCCAACCATCATTAGGAGGTTCTGCAGACAGCTTCAAGTACAGGAGCGGAGTTTGGCCTGGCACCATCCTCTTTTCACAATTTTATTCTTGTCCCACAGAAGTGAAACAAAATCCCTTTCAGAATCTCAGGATAATAATATTAATTTTTTTAGTACTAGGGATTGAATCTAGGGCCTCACACTGAACCACATCCCCAGCCCTTTTAAAAATTTTTGAGACAAGGTCTTGTGAAGTCATTAAGTTGCCCAGGCTGGGCTTGGACTTGTGATCCTCCTGTTTCAGTCTCCCAGAATGCTGACAATTATAGGCATGTGCCACCATACCCAGCTTAATGATAAAAAACATAATTTAGTATAACACAAATAGTATTTTAAAAAAAAATCAGTCATGACCTACTAAAAGATAGATATAAACACAGAACATTGCCTTGAATTCCTTATTTGCTATATGAAAAGCTGAAAAACAGAAGGTAAATATTACTCATAGTACATAAAAAATACAAGCTAGATTCCACATTTCTATCCTCCCAGATTTATGGCTATCTTGGCTCTAATTTCTTCTGAGTATCTTAAGATTTCCATTGTTATAATAAATGATCTTTGTGTATGACAAAAAGAAATGAGTATAACGGAAGGAAAATAGTGATAGTTAATCAAGAATTTAAAGCTGAGAGTGCAGACCTGAAGCCCTTAGATCGAACCAGAACGCAGCACTGAGGCCATACTCTTAAGTGAAATAGGACACATATGTGTAAATACCGAATAGTTTCGCTGGTGTGAGAAAAAGTGTAAATAAAAGGTATAATGGATAATGTGAAATGGGAAGAAAAGGAGCTAAGGGGAAGGAAAGAAGGGAATGGAATTTATATGAGAAAATGGTAAAAATGGAAACAAAGTCTATGTAAATAGGGAGGGGTGGAGGGGTTGAAGGGAGGGCAGGGGAATAGGGAAAAAATAAGAACCAAGATAGATTACGTAAGGGTACAAATTCCCAATGATGAAATGTCATTATATTGTATACCTAAAATGTACCAATAAATTAAAAAAAAAAAAAAAAGAAAGAAAGCAGATATACTTTGGCCAGCAATTCCTAAAATCAGTGAATATTTTCAGAGGCCAGCAATCCCACAGGCGACACATCGGGCCTCCTTACTGCACTGTCTGACTCATGAGCACCACAATCAATGCTCAACCTCTGGTGCAAAGTAAAGGAAAATACAACCACTATTTTTAAAAAGGACAAGAAAGCCCCAATTAATGCAGAAAAATCAAACTGGGTTCAACTCACTGTTGTTCAATAGAGAAACAATAAAAATCACTCCACATATCCTCTGTGGAGTGTTTTCAGATATTTTACTGCAATTCTGCTGCTGTCCTTAAAAGGTTCTTTAAGATTCAGTCTACCCTACCTCTTACCTTTCCACATCCTACATTCTGACTACCTTGAATAGGCAGAGCTGTGAGCATGCCCCAAAATTTCATGCCTTCTTCATAATGCTTAAGAATACCTTCTCATTACCTGGTTCACTTACTAAGCTCATCTCAGCAGTTTTTTCTAGTAGGTGGATTGACTGCCTAGGAGCAGTGTCAGATGCCTCACCTATGTTCCAAAAACTTGAGACAATCTAGCCATTTACCATCCACCCAAGAGCCTACATATTCATCCCTGTAGCACCAGCCGTAGAGTTTCCCAACTATTTTATTGAAGTACCCTTAGCAGTGGAGGGGGATACTCTTTGGCAGAGAGAGGGATGAGGGTATGGTCCAAGCACAAAGTTTCTTTGAAGTCTCGAAGACACTCAAGTGTTATTTCAAGGCCTAAAGCTTTATGTACAGTTTACTTTTATAATATACTGATTCAAACCATCACTCCTAGTGAGAACTTGCCATGTTCATTCTGTGCCTTCATGAACCTCTATGCCAGGAGTCATGACACTTACTTGAAAAGCATAATCCTGAGACTACAGACATGTTAAACTGGGCATGATGGCACACACTGGTAATCCCAGCACTTAGGAGGGTGAGGCAAGAGAATTTCCATGAGTTCAAGGCCAGCCTGAACTACACAACAAGACCCTGTCTAAAAAATAAAAAGTGTCTTAAAGGAGAGTATTGTGGAAATGTCATGGATTTGGGCTCCCAGAAGGGGAAACTGGTATGTACTACATCTCTCTCCCCAATCTTTCATTTGGCCATTGTTCAGTCCCTATTATCCCTTATTTCAGATCTCACAAAGACACAGCTGGCATACCTGCTTAGGTCTCTTCCATATTAGTTCTTAATACTTAGCTACAAATGCTGCCTTTGCTGCTCCAGGCTCTTCGCAGGCCTCTGATGACCTAGGTACTCACCTCAACTTGGAAACTCAACAAACCCTTTCTACTCATGTCTTCAAGCTCCAGACCTCAAATACTTGCAACTGTACTCTAATAAGATTGTAAGCCCCCTTTCAGATTAGATTTTTCTATCTCTTCCTCTCTGCTGAAGCTGTCTGGTAGAACAGGACTGCCTTGTCCTCTTCTAAAATAAAACATGTTGGCTTTCAAAAACCCCAATGAAATAAGTGTCTCCTTTATAGAACTTTCCTAATAGTCCTACACCAAAAGGATCTTTCAACTGATTTTGTACTTCCTACTGTGTATCTTGTACCATGTACTCCAATTCATCTCTTCTATCAGTAGAAAAATAGAGCTACATCCAAAATCATATTTTGGCCTGAGTTTGATCCCTGGTACCAAAAAAATATATATTTTGGTATCTAGCAAAATAACAAGTATTTAATGAATATTCATTGAATATAAAACCTTATATAAGGTCAAAAAAGTTAGGAATAACAGTGGCAATATTATTCTACTCTTAACAGCAGACTGCTTGGATATTTGTGAGTATTATTTTCCACTGATCTGTAAGATGTTTTTGCATTTGCTGTAATTTTTAGAAATCTGCTACACAATAATGTCTGCCATTTGCTATAGTTCAGAATAATCCTATAAGTTTTAGTTACAATTTCTTTGGTATTTTTAAAATATACATTCAATAAAGAATTGAATTCAATAAATACTAGCTGTGCTGGGGATTTAGCTCAGTGGTTTTGCGGCCTGCTGCACAAGCGCAAGGGCCTGAGTTCGATCCCTGGTACCAAAATAAATACATACATACATACATACACACAAACATACATACTAGCTCAGTAAGAATGTACTTCTTCCTGTCTCAGCTAATTCATATTATCAACTGAACAAAAATTTATTCAATTTATTAATTCTTCCATTTAATACCACTCCCTAATATTTCACCTAGTCTTTTGATCTTTAGATGGAAAAGGGAAATGAAAACCAGATTACTTACCACCCAAGAGCCTCTCATCATGAAGTTCATGAGAACAGGACTTCTAGCTACCGCCATGGCAGACAAAGCCGTTAAACCAATACTTCCTGCTAAGTACATGTAGGTGGAATGTATCCTATCCTTCACATACTGAGGCCAAATTCTGTAACAAACATGACATGGTTAGTGTAAAAAACTAAGAATGTGGATTCTGGCTGAAGAGTTTACTAGCTAGGTGGCCTTGTGATTAAATCACTTTAAAGCTTCCCATCTTATTCAATTAGATTATGGAAATAAACATACTTGAGTTACTATAAAGATTAAATAAAACATAAGCACTTGGCTTATACTAAAAGCAACATATTTTCTCTTTGCTCAAACATATATAACCTTGGTAAAAGATGTGTATCGAGGTTTGAATAAATACATGTGAACATAGTACTCATGTACATATGAAGCAAGACTTAAAGGAACACAAGTCATCTCCCCTCCCCCTAATCACCACCCTACTCCTTGCATATAGCTGTAACTCCTTCTTTTGGTACAGATAAAATTGACAACTATGTCCTATAAACAAAGTTTATGTCAATCTGTTCTTATATGATCACAAGATCCATGAGGATCTGTCTTCTTTCAAGGCTAAGTTACAAAACTGTCTGCCCTTGTCCTGTTTCTGTAAACTTTCTTGCTGCGTCCCTAGAAAGACCAATGCCTTTGACCAAATGTATAAAAACTAGAACTTTTCTTTGTTCAAGGCTCTTTCTTTGGATATTAGTCCATTGAGCCAGTGTTCACCTAAAATCTGGAATAAAATCCTCCTGTTTCCCAGTGGTTTCTCCTGTCTCTCAAATCCTACAACACAGAGATAAAGCCTAGATAAAAAATATTTCTAAACTGACCAAAGACTAAAGAATAAGAAGAAAACTGATATTTTTAAGGATGGTTTTTGACAGTTTTGGACAATTTACTTACACAGCCTTTTCAATCGCTCCAATCTCATTAGACATTCCCAAGCCATAGTAGCACAATGCTCCAAGTCCAACAGCAGCCCCTCCAGCAACAAACCATCTTCCCATCTGGTCAACTGCAGAACACAGGAGGAAATACAAGTTAATACTATCATGTCTCAATACCCTCAAAATTCGGTCAATAGAAAAGGACACTTCTAAAAACAAAGGTGAAATCACTACTATAAAAAGGAGGACCAGATCTGATTAACCTTCAGCCTCATTTCAACAATATTTGAGGGGGCAGTGTGTCTGTAGATGTGGAGATATATCTGATACACATTACTTTATTCATAGGAGTTTGGGGTTCTTAGTAAAATAAGGGAAATGTCAACAGTCATCCACACTGTGTCTAAAGTGGTATTATAAAAGATGAAGTTTTACATGGGGTCAAGAAAGAAGAGGACCAAAGAAGAGAAATGTAATCAGTGCCTATGCTGTACAAACAGGAGATGTTGTTGTTTACAGAACCAAAGACAACTTACCAACTCAATCCCTTTCTCTCTTTTTGGCAGGGGTTTTGTGAGACAGGGTCTCTCTATGTAACCCAGGGTGGCCTCAAACTTATGACAATCTCCTGCCTCAGCCTCCCAAGTGCTGGAATTACAGGCATGTACCACTCGGCCCAGCTGCAACTCTCCCTTGATGGAGATCAAGGCTCATGAAGAACATCTTACTCCTTTCTAAATTTGACTAAGAATGTTAACTACGCTATTGTTACCTAATTTATAATTTGTTCTCTAGGGCCAACCTACTAATCAGAAACAACTAACCTGAAGGTTCCTGATTAGGGCTTTTACTGTAATATATTGACATGTATAAGACTGTTATGAAGCAGTAGTGATTTGAGATTAACAATCTAGTTCTGAACTTGCAAAGCACCGTGAACCAAAGTGACTTGGACTTGAGATGTGCAGAAGTATTACATGCCTAAATGAAGATTCTCCATAATTTCAAATGAATTTCCTGAATAGGTTATACCTTCTAGAATATGACATGTTAATATCTTTTTTTTCCTAAAAAAAAGTTGGAAGTAAAACCAAACCAACTGCAAAATACCAATCTTTCTGGAGTCATCAGATTCCAGAATAGTAATGTGGTCCCTTTTTTCCCAAAAAATGCATATATACATAAGTTTATATATATATTTTAGGAGACTGTTCATGGAAATTTTAAAACATACCATGGACTTCAGGTTAAAAACTAAAGTCGGCCACATACTTTTAAATATTTTTTCCATTGATGGTTCCAGTGCTGCCTCTTTGAGCTCTTGGGCAGTTTTCCCACGGCGGATTCCAATTCTTGACCTGGTGGCATATTCCTGATACATGTGCAAACAAAAATACAGTCCAAACCAAAATAATTAATGTTAATAACAAAACAGAAGATCTCTTTACACTAGAAAACTCTATTTAAAGCAATTTGGTGCTTTATATAATGTAATGTCAGTATAAAAGATAGTGACCATGTAGACCTACTTGTGCTCCATCTTCAAAGTGATACAATAATTCAATACACATTTAACTTCTTAGTTCAGAATACTTTTAAATTATACATTTTACTTGTATATCTAAAATTCTTGTACTTTAAATACTAACCAAATATCAAGGTGAGAATATATCAACATTTAAAAAAATGCATTCAGTAATAGCTACATTCTGTTGAGATAATGGGCTCAAGAAAGGTCTCTCTCCTAAAGACAAAGCCAAGGGGAGATATGACTACTGCTTTTGTTCTGGGTCTTTCTCAACAGTCCAATAGTTAATTTAACAGACATAAAGTTGTGTTCCTCTAGCTATTTATTCTTAATTATCTCATACTTAAAAACTTCTACTCCTTTGAATGTTGGAGCAGAAATGTGTTGTAAAAGGAAAAGGGCTTCTCTAACCTAACGGACTTTATGATTCGCCAAACAGAAGCTGAAATAGTATCCTTAATAACTTATTAAAAAGGTACTGGAAGGCCAGGTATGGTGGTGCACACCTGTAATCCCATCACTAGGGAGGCTGAGGTAGGAGGATTGCCACAAGTTCGAGGCCAGCCTGGGCTACATAGTGAGTTCAGGCTATCTAGTGAGACCCTGTCTCAAAAAAGCCAATAAATAACTAAATAAATAAAAAGGTACTGGCAAACTGGCACTACCTGTGGGTTCTTAAACATTTGACTAGGCCCCACACACGATAGCTATACCAAATAATTCTCAAATTACTCTCTTTCTGAGTGAGAAATCTTAAGAGCCTGTAAGCAACGGAAAAGTTACAGAAACTTTTTCCTCTTTCACATGATAAAGGACCAGAAAGATATAAGATTGGTGGGGAGAAAGCTGAGAACACTACTGACATCACTGTTACGGTTAATTGTTTCAGTGAATTTTTTAGTAGGTCACTGAAGGCAGACTTCATACTCTGCTAAAACCAAACCAACCCTACCCTCAAACTAGGTCTAGGGGCATAAAGAAACAAAGATAGACAATATGAAAACGGATTGTCTTTACCCTGCTGGGTGTTAAGAGCCACTGATTCTTTGTGATGGAACTCTTTACAACAGGGGAGGTGGCCTTGGTGAATGCTGGGTGGAAAACCTTGGAAGGTACGGTCCGAAGACACACAAGCCTTGCAGCCAGCATGGTGTTGCACTGGTTCACCAAGCAGATCTGAAATGCTAGTTAGAAACACAAACAAAACAAAAACACCACAAAAAGAAAAACGACATTAATAAGGGAAGGATCTAGAGAAGGAGACTAGAAGGAAAAATTTATCTTTTAGTTAAAAAAAAAATGGAATAAAGCAACCTCTTCAATGATAAATCCTCTGTGATCTCTTCCAATTCAAGAATCCCATTCCATATAACTCAGTTTGGGATGGATCCATCAAATTAGGTTTAACCAGTCTGACCAACATGTATGAATCCACAAAAGTATATGCAACACAGAACGAATGTTGTTATTGTAACAATGATTACAGGGTCTATGACTGCTTTTACAAATGCAGTTTTGACTTAAGCTTTGTATCAGCATTTAATGGGAAGACTTAAAGCACAATCTGTGTAACTTCTGAGCACAGGGAAAATGTCATCTAATGATTACAGGAGTTAACTTGTTGATGTCACGTTGTATTACAATGCTAAAGGACAAAAGAAGCCAAACAGATTTGGTATTCAAATTAAGTAAACCTAGTCTATATGCCTTTCTACAATTACATAGAAGGCATTCACCCTTTCAGGGTAAATTCATTTGTCAATCACGTTTCCTTCGTGTTAACTAGCACTCCTTCAGTGGTCATTCCAAAAGAAAAGCATACTCAGCTATAGGGTGAATTATTACAGATGTGCGGTCAACCAGAAAGTTGGATGTCTTTCCGTAGTAAATAGGGAGGGGACTATCAGGTAAGAACGAGATGACAAGTGTAGGCCAGCTCGGCTACTAGCCAATTTGTAGTGAACCTTAGCCAAGTGACCATCCTGTGTCTCATTTTCTCCACTTGTAACAAAGAAAAATCACCAAAACAGTGTTCAGATTACATTGCTGACTATTAGAATGCCTCCTTTAAGACTCATCTTAAAATGTAAACGCCTCAGTCTTACGGTATTCCTAGTGATTCTACCTTTAAAACTGGTACTAGGAATATGTGTTTTAACCTCATAGTTAAGAGATATTCAACTCTGCTGCTGGTTCTATGGAGGGTGTACAACACTGGACATAATCTCCCTTGGGGAAATACCGAACCTTTCTGGCACTTTCATGCCATTACAGCAAGTCAAAAAGCACCTTCCTGATGTTGAAACCAAACTGGGGCAGAGGTCAAGCTCAGCTTGTCCTCCAAGTCGTGTGATGGCCCACAGTGGGAATCGTTCCCGCACACGTGAGAAGTGATCTTGCGCGGGTGTTGACCTCTAAACTGGCACCTTAGCTCACTTTGTATAAAATATTACCGACTCTTACGTAAGGCTTTAAGCTTCCAAGCTTCTGTGAGCGCTGACAAGCGCGGGCGCCGGGTCTTCCCCCAGCCCACTAGATTCAGACGAGACCCGGTCCTCCCAAAGACCGCACAACTCCCCCCCCCCCCCCCCCCGCTCTCCTGTGCCCGCCGGGGGCTGCAGTGCGGTCGGGCCGCGGAGATGACTCAACACCTCACCGCCCAGGAAGAGGCAGCCAGCGAGGGCGAGCCCCAAATGTCAGTCTTCGACCCCAAAACTGCTGCCCTTTCTACGGGGTCTCCGCGCACGGACGGCGACCCTGACGCGCAGCCCCGCTGTGACGCAGCCAACCGCGCCGCTGCCCAGTCCTCCGTAGCGGCCCCACAAAGCCGTCAGTCTGCAATACGGAGGGTCGCATGCGGATAGCTCACAGAAGTACCTCAGCTCCCAGTCACCTCCACCTCGTAGCTCCCTTCCGGGTCTGCGGAACACTTCAGCGTCACTTCGCGACTTTTCACTTGTTCAGGCTTTACGGCTGCTGCGCACGCTGTCTTTTTTGACTCGCTGCGTGACGCAACATCCGGCGAGAGGTAAATAATACGAACAGCCAATCAACAGCAGGCTTCTGACGGAAGGGCGGACACGGCGGGGGCGGGGATTCCGGTCTGGTGTGGAGGGACCAATGGAACAGTGCTATTGGAAACGTCGTAGTCAGCGTCCACCTTGGGTGTGGGGTACGTAGTCCTTTCGGCCATGTTATTTCTTTTTCTTTCTTTTTTTTTTTTTTTTTAATTAAATTCTTTTATTGGTACATTGTAGGTATACAACACAATTACATTTCTCATTGGGAATTGTACCTTTACATAATGCATCTTGGTTCTTATTTTTTCCCCATTCCTAGCCCTCCCTTCACGCCCTCCACCCTTCCCTATTTACAAAGACTTTATTTCCATTTCTCATCATTTTTCCTTTCCCTTCTTTCCTTTCCCCTGCCCCTCCCACTACCCCTACCCCTTTGGACCTTTTTTTCCTATTTTGCATTATCGATTATTCATTCTAATCATTGGTACATTTTAGGTATCCAATATAATAACATTCATCTTTGGAAATTTTCGTCCATGTTATTTCAAGGTTTTTTTTTTTTACTCTTCATATGGTATATATTTTGTTATTTTATAGTAATACATTCTCATGTTACAAAGGCAATTTAGTTGAAGAATCTTCCTTTCGATATTTGAATCTGAACCAAACAGAACTATACATTTTTAAAAAGTGATAACAAAAAAACAAGTTAAAACAACAACAAAATACCTGTCCTTTTTTTACAGGTGGAGATTAAAGCGGACCTAATTCGGTTTTCTTTTTAAAAACCCCCAAAGACAAAAAGTTTAAAACCGAAGATGAATTTTAAAAATTGTTTACTAAACTACAGGTCTTTGGCACCATTTTCTGTTTTCTTTTGTTTTGATGCAGGTTCTTCTTTGTCTATTTCTTCCTTTGCTCTTTTCAGTGTGCCAGCTGCACCATTTTCATCACGTCCTTCATCATTATCAAATTTTGTTTTCTCGGCCTGAAACTACTTTTCCTTTAGCAGACCCCCAGGCTGGGCAGCTTTATTTCCTTTTCCTTTAAATCTGTGACTTTTTGATTTCCATTTTTTAGGGATACTTGTTGATCTGTGATTTATTTTCAAAGCTTCTTTTTCCATCTCTCCAATACTTTCACATGTCACTTCGTTTCTTAATTGTAGGCTACCATTATTTGCATCTTTGGCTTTGTCCAGTTCTTCCTTGGCTTTTCCTTTAAATAGATTTATTCCCTCTTTTGCTCGTCTGACAAAGTCTGTCCATTTTATGATTTGAGAAAAGGGCATGCAGATCTTCTCTACAGGTCTGATCATCTAAGTCACCTGAAAACCAGCAGGCATCCAATCTTCTAGAGATTTCATTTGGGCATCTTCTGCTAACTTGTTTTTCTTTTTGCTCTTGTTTAGCTCTTAATTTAGCTTCCACTTTATTTTGCTTTCTTTCTTCATTTTTCTTTGCAAAATAATGTTCCTTAAAAAGTATTAGTAAGTCTATGTCTTTATACTTCTGGCCCCGAGTTTTTATAAACCCCTTAGCAGATTCAATGCTATAAAACACAGCAAATATTGATCCTTTAAATGTTTTGTGGAATGTTCTTTTCATCTGGATATTTAGTACTTGACCTTTATCTTCCAGCCATTCTTAGATGTCATCAAGGGTTGCATCTGTTGGGAAGTCTTTAATATAAACATCTGTTTTTTACATCATTTTTATACTCATCAGTTGCTTCAGGGAGGGGTTTGGAGATCTTCTGATTTTAGTTTTATCTTCACTGATTTCCACGAATTCTGCTTTAGATTTACTCAGTGCTTCCACTATTAAAGTCAGGTGCAAGGCAGTTGAGCTTGTTGAATTTTATCATTATTTCCAAGGGTACCCACCCTTCATGCAATTTGACCTTTTCCTTTAAAAATTTGTCCCATGGCAAATTAAAGTCTCCATAATATTACTCAGTTACATGACAGATTTTGGCCTCCAGAGCAGCCATTTTTTTCATTATCACCATTTTCAGCCACTGTGGCTAATCTTTAAGGCTGTGGTCCTGCATGGGTGCCACAGGTTCACTCACAAAGACAGAGGCCTCCTCACTTCTCAGTGCTGCTGGCCTAACTCTCTTGGTCATTTCAGCTCTGGACAGCAGGGCCCCACTTTGCTCTTGTTTCAACCTCTATGGTCCTAACATCTAGAAAAATTTTAAGATTGAATAGTTACAGTTGAAAATTATTCCTTTGTCCTAGTCTTTTGTTTTTTATGATGCTAAGGATTGAACCCAAGGCCTTGATGCTGAACTACATCCCTAGCCTTTTCAATATTTTATTTTGAGGTAGGGTTCTCACTCTCAGAGTGCTAAATCACAGGAGTGTGCCACCAACCCCGGCTTTTCTCTTTTTTTCCTTATTTTCCTGCATTTGTGCTTTCTTAATGGTGAGATAAATAATCATGCTAAATGTGGAAATTTCTGACCTGGTCCAAACTGTTTCTGGGGCTGAGATCAAAGATTAGATGGTGAAATCTAGAAAAAAAAATGTTTTTCCTAAATTTTTCTTCTTTATTGCCTTGTAGCCTTGCTTGTCACTTTTCAAGCTTCAGTCTACACCTGTATGATAAATAGGATATATACAGGCAACTCTGCCTCTTAACCCAGGGTTTTTCTGCAGACTTTGGAGATACTTCCTTTGGGAGTAATTTGTTACATCAAACCCGTTTCTCAATTGCACGAAGGAGTTTTTCCCTTTTATTTTTCACTGTCACTCTATTTCCTCAAAAACAAATATTTACTGAGGCCCACTTTGAACCAAGCACTGTTCTATGGATCTACTACACAAATGACTAAAACACTGTGGTACCTGTATTTTGCTGAAAAAATCTTTTCCATTAAAGTATTCATTTTGTGATGGAGACAGAAAATAGACAAATGTAACGTTACGTTGTGATTAGTACTGTGAAGAAAAAAATCAAAAGCTGTAGGGTGTCTGGGTGAGTTCAAGGCCAGCCTGGGCTACATAGTGAGTTCAAGGCCAGCCTGAACTATGTCCAGACCCTGTCTCAAAAAAAAAACAAACAACTCGGCCAGGGATTTAGCTTAGTGGTTCTAGGGTGCCTGCCTTGGTAGCACAAGGTCCCCAGTTTGATCCCCATACCAAAACAAACAAACAAATCAATCAACTAAACAAAAACAGTTTGACACCATTGGAGTCCTTATCTCTTTACTCTAAAAATGGCAGGAAACCACTTCTACAATCTGTCACTTTAGATACTGGACAGATCCTAGCATGAGCAATTTAATCTTACTTTAGATCTTTACTCAATTGAATTAGCTCAAAAATAGCCTCTTGTTTGGGTCTTTCAGTGATAATCTTTTTCATAGTATGTCTGCTATCCTCAGAGAAGGGATTTAAAACACAATACCTGAGTAAACAAAATCTTTAAGTCAACAATTTAAGATCTCAATTAAGGCTTAGTCTCTTCATTTAGGAAGAAAAGTGCCTGATTTCCTGTTTTTCTTTTTTCAGCTATGGGGTTTGAATTGCTACCCACCCCCCCAGGTGTCAGATATTTTAAAGCCAGAGAGGAATCTGGCCACATTGTGGTGAAGATTCTTCACTCTTGTGGCCGTGTTGGTGGGAAGAGTTCCATCCACTTGAGAACAATTAGGAATTTACTCCAGTTGTTTCAAGCAAAAGGTGATGTAAGCTGGAATTAAAACAGTACAGGGACAGAGGGGAGGCTTAGTGCTAAGGTAGAATTTACAGGATTTAATAACAGAATAGAGTTGATAAGGATGATGAAGGCAACCTGGGTAGTTCTGTTTTGAATTGAGTGAAATTGGGCAGATAATTACAGTATTAATTCAGAGATACAGATGTGAGGAAAATGGATAAGTAAAACTCAGTATGTAGTGTTTAAATGTAAAATCTTGCTTCTAAAGTTTTAGAGCAAAGAAAAGATAAAAAGACCAAAATCCTGAATTTTAATGCTTAATATACACTATAATTTTTATTACAGCCTATTCCCTTAATCTCTGTCTACTCACTACGATAGAAGGGCTGGCTTTAATAATGGAGAAAAAAATCAGAGCTGAGGACAAAAGGGAAAATATTCATTTATATATCATACAGTAAGTATGCAAAAGTTGGAAAAAGTAATTTTCTTTTTTCTTTTGACAGGGTCTCCTAAGTCACTAAATTGCCCAGGTTGGGTTTGTTTGTTTATTTTGAGATAGGGTCTTGCTATGGAATTCAGGCTGGTCTTGAACTCACTGTGTAGACCAGGCTGGCCTCAAACTTGAAGTGATCTTCCTGCCTCAGCCTCCTGAGTGCTGGGATTATAGGTATGAGCCACCACACCCAGCAGGAAAGGGAGTTTTCAAGGGTGTTGCTGTCTGCAGTCCCCATCACCTTCTTTTTGAAAGACTGATGATCTTCCTGTATTGGAGTGTGATCAATCTTCCCACTGCCTAGAAAGTGGAACATCAAAGGGTAAAGAAAAAAAGACAATAGAGATTTGTGTAATTTTAAAGTGTATGGGCGGCTGGGAGGTCAGTGCCTTAGAGTGAACAAAGACAACGACACTGAGCTTGCCCCTGTTTACTGAGTTCACACCGTAATTGGACGGAGTATCAAATGGATCAGAGGGCCTGGTAATCCTAAATTGACAAGGATCTTAACTGGAGGAAGTATCAGAGGACTCAATGGGTGTCAGTAATCCTAGGACAATAAGGGTTTTATGCTGATGAGGATCACAGGTCCATGGGGAGTTTATGTTGATGAGGATGGTGAGATAAGCAAAACATTCTTATAACAGTAGGTGGGAGGACTTAAGTTAATAAGGAATTTGTCTCTCCCAAGGTGAAACCTTTCTCTCCCTTTTTTTGTTACTACTCAGTTCTCAAAGAACCAGGATTTCTTCAGCTAATGTAATCTTGCCCTTGAGTGTCACAGCACTGTGAGACCATTGAGGCCTCAGCTGTGACAGGATGCAAAACTGAGTTATGTTTCCACATGCTGTA